TGTGTGTGTGTGTGTGTGTGTGTGTGTGTGTGTGTGTGTGTGTGTGTTTTGAGAGCAGTGAGTGTTTAACAGCGCTGCTCACAGGGACTCTACTGTGTTGGAAGGGGTTTCCTCTCAATGCCACTGTGTGCTCACTGGGAGTTGTTTCCACCAGGGCAGGGAAGCACGCGCACAGACGCCCTGCTCGCAACTCTGCGCACGCCCATTCACGTGCGCGCGTGTGTCCCGTTCAGACAGACACTCGCAAGGGACTCTCGCTCCTGAACAATGTCGTGCGACCGCCCAGGATGTCTACGTCACCTCCGGTGTTTGCGAGATGTTATTTGAAGTTGCTGTGGAAACTAAATCGAATATTGAAATCTCTCTCTCTCTCTCTCTCTCTCTCTCTCTCTCACTCCCTCCCTTTTTTTGTAGAGAAAAGCCAATCCATAAGGGAGAGCCAGGCCCAGTCCCCGACTCTGGCTGCTGCTGTCAGACTCTCAGCGATGATACACGGCAAAGACAGAGTGTACGCCAATGCCATGCTGGTGGACCAGGTGAGTCGTTAGTAGTTCTTTCTCAGTAGGTTGTATATTTTATAACATTTAGTCAGAAACAGACTCATGTGATGTCAAATGTTCCACTTTTCTGTTCCAGGTGGATGACGCTGATATTAAATACCGCTCTCCGGTGGACGAGGATGAGGAGGAGGTGAGCCCTGAGCCCCATCTTGGCAGCCCATGCTGGGACTCCTTCTCCACGACTCCCCCGGCCTCGGGGAACCTTTCCCAGAACCGGCACCCGTCCTCACCCCGCGGCGGGGAGAGGGGGATCCGAGGCCCGGCAATTCGCAAGGAGCCTTCCCCTCGCACGTCTCCCCCCTCTCCTTTCGCATCCTCCCCGTCTTTTCCTTCCTCCCCCCTGGCTTCCGCCTTCCGCTTGTTCGAGGGAGCGCAGAGGCGTCGGACGCAGCCGTGCCTGCCAGTTTCTCCTGCTTTGAACCGCAGAGGATGCAGCTTGACCGAGGCGAGCCGGGTCCTGAGGTAGGACGCTATAACTGTTCATTATTGAAGAAAAGGGGAAAAAAATCAAATGCAGAGCTATTCTAATTGATTGCAGAACCTTTAACGGGAAAGCATCACGACTCGGTTGAGTATTTTCATGTTAAAGGGAGAGAACAAACCCACTGCATTATGGCCAAGTGGATTTTGGAGGGGAATTATAAATTCCGCGCACCAATGTAGAAACTCGTTGCGAACACATACCACGACTAACAAGTAACATCCTTAATTTCAGCACAAGCCTTTTCTTGACATTTTGTGCAGTGATTGCAGTCAGAGAAGGTGCTGAAAGTGACAGGAAGCCCGGACACAATTGAGCTGTTTGTGTGTTGAGGTCGCTGAACATTCCTCCCAGTTTCCTGAGAGCTGCAGGATCCTCTCCATTAGCACTGAAGCCGGCCAAAGGCTACACAGTTTAATGCCTATACACTCGGTGGCCACTTTATTAGGAACGCCTCTACAACTGCTCTGCCATGAAGAGGTGTTAATTCAATTATATGTTTTGCAACGAGGTCAGTGGTGAGAGATGTTTCTAATATTCTGCCCTCTTAGAAACATCTCTGTCAATATAATGTGGTCCACAACAACAGCACCAACAACTATGACCTCAATATTAAACCTATAATCAAATCCATGAGTCCAAACATATTTGTATCAAGATCGTTTATGCTTATCTGTGCAAAATGAGTCATCTTGTAGTGTTCCAACAAATGTGAATGTGTCATTAACAGGAAATCAGTATGTTCCCAACTTTTGTGTGTTTGCATCTGTGTGTGTAAATAGTCCTAGTGTCGAGTGCGACAGTGGAGAGGAAGACATCCTGGGACACTCCTACCCCTGCTCGTCTGCGAAGAAGCAGTCCATCCTGCGATCCAGCTCGAGGGAGGACTCTTACGACGTGTCACCAGACTTTAACCGCACGCACTCTGACAGCACGCACACGCCCGCCAAGGTACACACACAATATACAGGTCATTGTGTTTCTCCATGTGTGTGTGTGTGTGTGTGGGATCCCATGTGGCCTGAGACACAACGCCTGAAAAACCTCCCCTTCTGGTTCTCTCACTTCATTATTCCAAACAATTATCTCAAACTAGAACGATTTTTTTGTTGACACATGATGTATCATTATTTCATTCAATTATCAATTTTTTTTTTTTTGCATCAAGATTTATATTAAAAGTGCAATTACAAACACATTAAAAAAGTAATAACCCAAAACTGTAGATAAAAAAGTAAAGCACATTACACACTGTCAACAGCTCAATAATGTGGACAAAGGGTCAGACAAGTTGAGTTTCCTGCTCCCAGAATTGAACCTGTGAACTTACTGCTCTGCCTGATCTGTTTCCTTCTGATCTGTTTCCTTCTGATCCGTTTCCTCTACCCAGAACCCGCAGGAAGCAGAGGTTCGCCTGCGCTCCTACTCCTATTCCTCCCCCAAGGCGAAGCCGTCGCGGCCGCTGCTGAACCGAGACGAAGCCATCACCGACCTGGCAGAAGGTGAGTCAACTTTGACCCCGTGACCTTTTCTGTTCCCCCGCGAGCCAGCTGAACGGACACATGTGCCACATGTCTCAACAGACAGGTGTCGTAAATCAACTGGACCTCTGAGGAGTGTGTGTGTGTGTGTGTGTGTTTAGCGTCAGCTCCACTTTGATGCGTAGGAGCAGCGCAGCATTAAGGCCATGCTTTGCTCCCGTCTAGATGGTGCGTTCAGCGGCAGCGGTCGCTCTCTGCTCCAAGCTTTATCTCTCTCTAAATCCCTCTCTCGTCTCAACCAAGTTAGTAAGTACAAGAACAGCGTGTCGGCATTCCAGTGTGTCTCTCTGCTCTATCTGGTGAACTGTGGGATAAACTGGTGATTTTCAAGAGTTGCACAATTATAAGGCATATCTGGTGTATTTAAACTGTCCCTGTGTGTTTTAACGGATACAAGATGGAAAATCTGGGGTGAAATTGGAGATTGAATGAGCCTTGAATGAAACCCAATAACTTTGCTGCACATTTTGCTTGCAATTGATTTGCCTGAAGATTCTTTTGATTTCTTACCATTTTTGCAAAACAACGATGTTTCTCATTGTGGCTCACATTGTGCAGCAAACAATGCACAAACCGCTGTCTTAAAGGAGGGAAAAAACATATTCATTATTATTTTGAATCGCTTAAAGATCAAGAGCAGACTTTCACCAAAGCTTGACTTCCTCTTTAAAAAAACAACAGTCTTCCAAAGTCCACTCATTTATATGATGAATGACACATAGAGGTCTGGATCTTTAAGACTGCTTCTTTTTTTTTATAAATATATCCCGAGGCTTTGGATAAAATACTCTCTACAGTCTTTTAGATCTTCTGGAGGAGGAGCTGTTTCTACCTTGAGGCGGCTGCTCTGCTTCCATTTTGGTGCATATTATTTTGTTTCCCACTTTGGTTTTGGTTTTCCATCTTTGGTGTCATCTGGTTCTTCGAGGCAAAACTCTTGTGTGGTGTTTGGTCTGTCTTTGTAGGGATTTGCTGGATCCGGGCTGTTTCTCCTATTTCCTTCTAACTCTATTCTGATCGGGGTTGATGGCTTTTTAACACGTGACGTGTATTTCGACCGTACTCATTTGCCTTTCCCTGTTACTCTTTCCTTTACAGAGCAGAGAGCATTGAGCCTGACTGAGACTACCAGAGATAAAAGGTAAAAAGGAGCAATTCCTTCCTTTTTTTTGATCAAATGCGCCTCCAGATGTGTGCGTTTTCATGCGTCTCTCCAGTATTAAACCTGTGGTTGGGGTCTGAGTGCGCAGGATGTGACATACTTCCTGTTCCAAGGCCCGAGGCCACAACACGCCCTGATTGCAACCTCAAAACAATAAACATCAAAACTCTCCTGCACTCGAGACCTCGGATACATCTCAGCTATTGTCTGAAGCACATCAGTCATACTGAATTTATAGCGTAAACATGTTGCAATATATGTTTTGGTTATAGATTTTTAACAGGCGCACCTGAATTAACATTTGCTTTACAATCTCACCCTGTGGCACATTTTGCCTCCTTTTTGTTTTCATTTCATAAAATCCCACAATTCATCCTCATTTTGTAGTTAATTTCACCTCGCCGCCCCGTGCATATGTCACACGCTCATACGTGTTGTTTGATGAAAACCATGCATCGCTTATTGTTGAGGAAACATTTTCAGATCATCCTATGAGGCAATTATCACATAACATCGTTTGATTATTGTATCAGAATAGACATCTCAATATTCACAACACCAGCCTTATGAGACTCACTAACTAATATGTCAGCATAATATGTCACCTCTGGCTCATACGTGATAAGCTTTACTAAATCATCATGTATCACAGGCATCAATATGACCATCCACATGTAGTCGTCTATGTTCGGCTCAGAAAATGGGTTGTACACTCTAATCTTAAATGCCACACATATTAATATTCACATTCTGAGTCTACCGAAACATTACATCCCGGTCTGAGGTGTGTCGTGTCCACGCAGGGTTTTGGGTTTCCGTAAGCGGGCCCAGTCAGCAGAGGAGGAGAGCGGCGCATCGCTCCAGCACCTCACCCTCACAGAGTTCCTCAAAGAGTACGTGTTCGCCACAATGGCCTCGCACCCATGCATGTGTAGCTTAACTCACTCTAACCCCCCCGCCGTAAAAAAAAAACACAACCCATTCCCCGACTCATCCATTAACCATCCGGATTCTTTTTCTGCAGCTGTATGTGACCTTTTTTTTTGTACGGCAGGTCACTGCATATGTTTGTGCATGTTTCTCTTCTTTACGTTCTGTCGCCTTTTTACCGAGAATGCTGAATGGAAGTAGCATAGGTTGGTGCAAATAGCTGACACATCATCAATTGCATCTTGCCAAGGTCAGACTATAAATAGTATCCCCTAGAGTCCATAGTGACCTCCAAGCATGCTGTTAAGAGTAATAGTCTGTGGCCCAGGGTTCCTGGAAGACCGTCTGGACAGTGTTTCATTTCAGCATGACACCAGTGTACCTGGTTATCTGACTCTTAGTGTATGAAAAGTGCTGAAATGTTAGTTTTAGAAAAAGTTTACATGTTGGACCTGAATGTTGCGATGGCCGCTGACTTGACGTGTTCACGCTGGAACAGGATCGAGGACGAGGAGTGGGATAAGTACATAATCCCCTCGAAGGTCGAGTCGGAGAAGTACAAAGTCAGCCGGACCTTCAGCTTTCTTAAGAGCAGGATGTCCAGCACTCGCAACAAGGCCAAGGTGAGCGAAGATTTCTCATCTATGTGTGTTTAAAAAAAACGGGGATTTGAGAAAGCTGAAACAACCCTCCCCCGCAGTAGCGCAGTAAAAGGTTTACCACCTTTGGCGGGACGGGCCGGGTCTGAATTCCTGTGCTGGGGAGCCCATTGTCTGCGTGCGGTGCCTTTATTTGGCAAGGGAGGAAAAAGAAAATTCCCCTCAGGTCTTAGCAACGGGACGCAGTGAAAATATCCTCTTACATAACTCGTAGAACCCCCCCACACACACACACACACACACACACACACACTCACACACTCACACACAGCGCGAGAGGAGCCAAAACACATTCCATAGTACAATCTTATCAACGTGCGCATGTGTTCAAGAAGATGTTTGCGTGTCTGTACAGACGCAAGATGCACATGGAGAGTCGAAAAACAAAACATGCACTCCTAGAGTCTGATGAGAAAATAGACATTGCACTATCACACACATGCACA